CACACACACACACACACACACACACACACACACACATACACACACACTGTGGACCTATTGCAGTATCAGACCATAGAGTTTTTAGTAACGTTTATTATCCATTTTACCATAGAATAATAATACGTGGTAAACATATTGTCGATTGCTTAAATGTACCATTTCTTAAATTGTATGAATACTAACAAAATTGTTTTTGTAAAAATCTTACAATATTATTAGTCACTGAGCAGAAAAGCCTGTTTTAAATTTTCCTCTTTTTCTTTTAGTTACTACTATATCCTTTAAAAAAGAAGTTATTGCTGTTGGTTCACAAATATTAATGACCCCAATATGATAGCTAAACATCCGGAAACTTGACAAAATCAGCAACCAAAAGCACCAGGGGCAACGGAAAACAACTGCAGAACATGCAGTCCAAGCCCAGATTTGAAACATCCTTGTCCCTGGGTGATAATGGCACCTTTGGCCTGAGAACATTAAAACGATCACTGGGGAAGAGTCAGTTCTGACTCGTAGCAACCCTATAATAGGACAGTGTTGCACTGCGCTGTAGTCCATGAGGTTGTAAGTCTTCTTGGGACCAGGCTGAAGGAGCAATTGATCAGTTTAAGCCTCCATCCTGGTGGCTAGCTGCTCAATGCTTACTCCGCTGTGCCACCGTCTCAAACTCACCACAATCGGGTCAACTCCAATTCATAGCGACCATACAGGGCAAATAACTGCCCCCTGTGGCTTTCTGAGACTGTAAATCTTTATGGGAGTAGAAGCCTCATCTTTCTCCCACAAAGCTGCTGGTGGGTTTTAAACACTGACTTTGTGGTTGGAAGTCTAATGCATAACCCACTGAGTTAGTTAATTGTGCCAGCCTGGCCAATAATCACATGTGGGGCTAATTGAAAGGCGGAGGGATAAATGGGTGGTGAGCCTCGCCTTTCTAGTTCTCAGGTCTCTTGATTTGTGATGGTTGCAGGGTGCAGCTGCCTTAGCAGTTCCTTGCTTCAGCTTGCAAGATTGACTTCCTACAAGACATCCCCAAGGAGAAGCCACATGGACCTATCCCGATGCAGCCCTGGGTGCTGGAGCAGCCATGTGGAGACCCCTGCTAGTGCTGAGATGCTTATTCATTCACTGACTCAGCTTTCCTCCTGTAGTCGGCATCATTGCCTCTGTTTTGTGAGGTGGAGGACTTTGTGGACTGGTGTTGGGTTAATGGGTTAATGTTGGCCTTGTGGGCTTGGGCAGCATTGGGTTGGGATGTTTCCGTGATGCACATTTTCTTTACATAAAACTCTCATACATGAGTTGCTGTGGATTTGTTTCTCCTAAGTACCCAGACTAATACACCCACTATACTTCCAGGGCTTCTCTTCCTACCACTAGAAGTTCAACAAGTAAACTAGTGTAGAGTTTTAGCTTGTTATATATGTAAACTGGGCTTACACACACACACCTCCAAAACACAGTTTCCATTAGCTACAGGAAGATTTTTATCAATTTCTGCTGAAATATTTTTATAGAGAGTGATTTTGGTATTACTCCCCTCTAACAGTGTCCCCCACTGCAGTCCACACGCCCTAATGAATGATTTGATGAATGCTTACCATCGCCATCAATGAAAAGTAAGTTATAGCCATGTGACAATCATTCCTCAAGCTGCTACTAGGCACCAGACATTACACGGGCACTGCAGTCATCCAACTCATCCTACCAAGCACGACGCAAAGAAGGAACGGCTGTTCTCATCCTTCTGAGAATGAGAAAACAGGGTGAGATTGGTCGCTCAAGGTTTTACACAGGGCAAGTCGTGTCTCACACCCTGTCTCGTGAGCTCCATGCTGAAGGAGCATGTAAAACCCCTAGTCACTCCTCCTTTTTCCTGTCTCAATGACCATGCAATTCAATAATTTAATCGTATGAAGAAGAGTTAAGTAATTATCACCACTTTCAATTCTAGAACATATTCTTCCTTGTACTAATTTCTAATTGTGGCAAAAATATACACAAGAAAACATTCTCCAATTCAACGAGTACATGTATAATTCAGTTGAATTATACTCTTCGTGTTGGACAACCGTCATTGATATCCTTTTCCAGATTATTCCACCACCATTAACATAAACTCAATGCCCCCTGAATAGTTCTTTCTCTTTTACCCCTGGTAACAATTGGCCAAGTATGGTTTCTTTAATTTTTCTTTCTTTCTTTTAGTATTTTTCTTGATATAATATTCACACATCACACTCTTC